ACCAGAGCTCAGCATCTCTGTCCAGCATTGCTCTGCCTCCCAGGCCTGCAGCCTGTCCCGCACCCTTCTCAGAGAAGGACCCCTCTTCTGTTTGCTTGCAAGTATAGGTCTAACTCTCTTGGGGGCCCTAGAAGCCCCCTGAAGGCAGAATCTGGGCCAGCTCTTCAACCTGGAATTCTGATTCTGTTCTCAGTGGCCTTCACTGGGGTGAACAGATACCCCACTCTTGCTTTTCTGTCCAACAGAAGAACAAGACTTACTTTCCAGTTTGTCTTAAAGTAACTCTCCCCGTACCATAAAAATCTCAGTTGTACGAACACTGTGGGTTCTGGGGAGAATATTTTAGAAATCAGAACAACACTGTCGGATGTGTGCTTGCTTACCTTTAAGTTTGTGTGTGCACGTGTGGCCGAGTATGTCCATGCGTATATAAAGATGATGTATGGTGAATGCACACATGGATGTGAATGCATGCTCATGTGTGTGTGTGTGTGTGTGTGTGTGTGTGTGCACGTGCGCGAGCGCATGTGTAGAAGCCAGAAGAGGGTATCAGGTGTGAAGGGACCAGTATCAGCTCAAGACACCCCAAGATTAAGTTCTCAGGACAGAGGAGATTTATTTGACCTAGAAGGACAGAGGATAGGGAATAAGAGACAAAAACAGGAGATAGAGGATGAAGGAGAGGGGAGAAAGGAGCAAGGGAGAGGGAGAAGGGATATTTGTCCCAAAGGGCGGGTCTCTGGATAGAGAGGAGACAGACATGGCCCAGAGGCAAATGGCAGTTTATAAAGGTACAAGGGGGAAGCCCTGTGTTAGGATGAGGTGTTTAATTTTAACTGGGCATGTTAATTAGTGAGCCAAAGGGGACTTGTGATTGATGGACTTTAATGCTTTGCTAGCTGGACCTCTGTGGTCAGCCTCAGGAGGAGGAAGTGGCCAAATAAGGGGAAAGACCTTGGTAGGGCTAGATTTAGGATGTAATAGAAGGTTTTTGATTGAGGTAGAGGAGATGGGGTGGGGGTAGTGAGAAGGGAAAGGCCTGCCAGAGCCACGTTTGCCACGCTCAGACTGGGTAGCGCACCTTTAAGTTGTCCTGTTCTTTCTCTCACCCTTCCCTCAAAAGACAGTTTCTTACTGAACCTGGAGCTAGGCCGGCAGCCAGCAAGCCCCGCCTGACCCTCGTGTCTCTGGCTGTCCCCTCAGTGCTGGGCTACAGGTGAGAATCGCAGACATGGGCTCTGGGGATTTGGATCCTGGTCCCCATGTCTGCATAGCAAGTGCTCTCAGTCAGCTGTCTCCCCAGTCCCAAGTGAAGCAAAAAGCAAAGCAGAAATAGTGTGTCCAGTGGCCCTTGAGAAGGTATTGGTTCTTTGTCCCCAGACATATAATCTGAAGATTGATCTTACCTGTGGCACTCCTCTCTCCTCACGAACCAGGGTAGAAAACTGGGTGTCATAAAATAATGGAAGGGAGTCATTCCATCCCTAACTTGAGGCTTTAAAATAATTATATTTTTTCCACTCTTCTCTCTCCCCTTCCGTACCTCTCTTTCGGTTATGGATTGGATAAATGTACCACTCAGAATTCAAATGCTGAAGACATCTAACCCCTAAGGTGACATTACTTGGAGGATTTGAAAAAGTGATTCGTGTACCTGAATTCCCAGGAAGGGGTTCAATGACAGATTGCTATCCCGACAGGAAAAGGAAGAGAGACCAGAGTTCCCTCTGCCATCTTGTGCAGGATAGCAGCTGTCTGGGCACTAGGGGAAGATTCTTGCTGAAGAATTCAACCTTTGGCACTTAGATTCAGTCTCCAGAAAGTCACAAATTGTGGGGGAGCGGATGGAATACTGAGGGAAGATGTATTATTGGCATGGGCCACAGTGATATCAAGGACCCAATGTCCTAGAACCATGGGCATTGTCAAACCTTCCCCTGGTCAGGCTCACGGAAGGACAAAAGACTTCCTTTGGTTCACATGGGGATGTTGAGAGTGTCTGCAAAAAACTAGTAACCACAGCTTCCTATTTCAGGGTGACTGAAACTTGAGACTGCACCCTATAGAGACCTCCCACAAAGACCATCTGTGCCATCCTTGTGATGACAGGGTGATTGGTGCTAGGCACCCTCTATCATAGTGAGCACAGCCCACTGGATCTCAGTTTCTCTGCATGTGTGATCTGTGTCCTATCCTCTTTGTCTGGTATACTGGTTATGTCTGTTTATCTTTCAGTGTTTTCCAAAGGATCCTATCTATCTTTAGCCTCTCACTTGAATACACGACTGAGAATACATATATATGGAGGATATGCCTTAGACCCAAGCTCCTTCCTTAGACATCCTATTTTTGACTTTCCAGCAAGCTGCTTGCTCAGATAATCACTGCAATTGCAAAGATGTAAGAATCAACCATTGAATTAACTGCTTTTCATCCCAAGTGTCGGGGAATTTCCAACAGGTGAGCATGAATCGCATGCCGTCACCATGGCAACAAGAGCAGGCAGGTCTGATGTAGCGTTCTCATCTCTCCCGTTCTCTTCTGCCCCTACACTCACATCATCTGATACATCACTCTGCATCCAAATTTATTCTTCAATGGTGTCTTAGTCAGGATTTCTATTGCTGCAATAAAACACCATGACCAAGAAGCAAGTTGGGGAGGAAAGGGTTTATTCAGCTTACACTTCCACATTGCTTTTCATCACCAAAGGAAGTCAGGACTAGAACTCACACAGGGCAGGAACCTGGAGGCAGGAGCTGATGCAGAGACCATGCAGGGGTGATGCTTACTGGATTGCTTCCCCTGACTTGCTCAGCCTGCTTTCTTATAGAACCCAGGACTACCAGCCCAGGGATGGCACCACTCACAATGGACTGGGTCCTCCCCACTTGATCACTAACTGAGAAAATGCCTTCCAGCTGGATCTCATGGAGGCATTTCCTCATCTGAGGCTTCTTTCTCTGTGATGACTCCAGCCTGTGTCAAGTTGACACAGAAAACCAGCCAGTACAGATGGTCTCAGGATAAAGACCTAGGAGTTAAGACAATCTTCCCAATAGAGATAGAGATAGAGATAAGGGGATATATATCAGTAATCCTTCTGTTGCCAAAACAGACACCTGCCATGATATATAAAGACAAAAAGGTTTGTTTTTCTTCTAGATTTAGGAGTTCCAGCTCCAGGTAGTTGACCCCTTTAGGCCTGTGGTGGGTGTGTACACAGGAGTGAAACTACTTACTTTATAGTCAGCAGCAAAGAAGAGAGAGAAGAAGCTGGGGGTCCCACAATCTCCTTTAAAGACACACCCCCACTCACCCAAAAATGCTAGGCCTCACCTCTGTTTTGTTTGTAGAGTGATATTTTTATTCAGATAAGATCTCATATGGTTGGTCTGGAACTCTCTATTGTAGACCATGCTGGCCTCAAACTCTCCATAGTGATGGGATTAAAGCATTCCCCCCCTCCCCACACACAAATAGGCCTTACCTCTTTTTTTTTTATTTTTTTGGTTATTGGAGACAGGGTTTTTCTGTGTAGCCCTGGCTGTCCTGGAACTCACTCTGTAGACCAGGCTGGCCTCGAACTCAGAAATCTGCCTGCCTCTGCCTCCCAAGTGCTGGGATTAAAGGCATGTGCCACCACCACCCAGCCTCTTTTTTTTTTTTTTTTTTTTTTTTTTTTGTGAGCACATTGTCACTGTCTTCAGATACACCAGAAGAGGACATCGGATCCTATTACAGACAGTTGTGAGCCACCATGTGGTTGCTGGGATTTGAACTCAGGACCTCCACAAGAGCAGTCAGTGCTCTTAACTGCTGAGCCATCTCTTCAGAACTAGGCCCTACTACTTAAAGGTTCACTAACTCTCAATAGCACCAAGTTGGAGACCAAGCTTTTTTTTTTGTTTTGTTTTTTGGTTTTTGTTTTTGTTTTTTGGAGACAGAGTTTCTCTGTGTAGCCCTGGCTGTCCTGGAACTCACTCTGTAGACCAGGCTGGCCTCAAACTCAGAAGTCCGCCTACCTCTGCCTCCCAAGTGCTGGGATTACAGGCGTGCGCCACCACCACCCGGCAAGACCAAGCTTTAAGGCATCACCAATACACACAAGATGAAAACATGGCAGAGAACAAAGGTTGCAGACTTCTGAATGAAACCGGCTCCTTTCACCGGTACAAAATGAGAGAATCTGGTAAAAACCCCATCGCAGATTTGTGCTTTATGAATCCATGTTTGGCAAGGAGACAGGGATGTTGGTAGTGTTGCTTTTCAAAATACCTAAAGTCTCTGAGACTTCCTTCACCACAAGCTAACCCATCCACATCCAAAGCTTCTGGAACCTTTGTATATCTAGCTGGAAGTTACGATCTCGGGCCTGTCTGGTTCTGGCTGGAACACATTTCTTTGATCACTCTGTGGCCTTTTAAATCTGACTTTTTTTTTTTTTAAAAACTTAAAATATTTGTATTTCTTTCTTTCTTTGTGTGTGAAAGCGTTTCGCCTGTATGTGTGTATGTGTACCATGCTCATTATGCCTGATGCCTGGGGAGGTCAGAAGAAGGCATGGGATCCCCTGGAACTGAAGTTGCCTGTGGTTGGACGTTGCCGTGTGGGTATGCTGGGATTTGGATGTGGGTTGGTGTGGAGAAAATTTAAAAGGGCCGCCGTGGTGGGTCCCACATCAGGGAGGGAAGATCCTATGGTTCCAGCGGCCTGAGGGCCTTGGCGGCGGCAGGCCCCAGTAACACGAGGAAGTCCTTGGTTCCAAAAAGGTTTATTGTCATGGCAGATAATAGATGGATCTAGGGGTACCCCCCCCCCAAAACTCAGGGCAGTCCCGAGTTATATAGGGAGGGAGAAAGGGGGAGGATTGGGGGAGGATCTGGGGGAGGAATGTTTAATTTGCTCTGCCCTCTGGCCTTCATTAGTATGTAAATCTCTAGGGCCTGAGGCCTATAGCCTAGCCTATGTGACTCTATGGAAATGTGACTGTTTTTCAGGATCCTAGATGATGGGAGGGACCGAACTCCTGCCGGTTCTCACGCAGAATTCCACGGAGAATCTCGGGGTTCTAAGTACCTGCTCAACCATGACCCAGGATACCCTTATGCAGTCCCACAGGTTGAAAGTTGCCGTGTGGGTATGCTGGGATTTGGATGTGGGTCCTCTTGGAAGAGCAGCAAGTGTTCTTAACCATTCAGCCATCTCTCCAGCCCCAGCTCTGACTATATTAAATTCTCTCTGTGCGTAGTAAAAACTAATGACCACCTTTGTGTGATACATTTAAAAATTAGAACACAAGGTAAACTATCAAAATGATATATTGTATTTTCTTTTCTCTTTTCATTTAAAAAAGTGATTTTTATTCTTATTTTATGCATGTTCGTGTGTCATGTGCATACCTGGATTGTGGGGGCCGGAAGAAGGCATTAGATCGCTTGCAACTGAAGTTAGAGATGGTTGTTAGCCGCCGTGTGGGTGCCCGGAATTGAACCCAAGTCCTCTGAAAGAGCAACAAGTGCTCTCCACTGTTGAACCATCTCTCTAGCTCTGTTGGATTTCTTCTAACATTTCACACTGATGACCTCAGCTAGTCCTAATTAAAATCCTATGAGGCATAGGGAGAGAAGGACACATTGGTGATAGGGAGACTGAGACTCTGGAGGTCTTGAAGAACCAGCCTGCCTCTGTCTTAGCCTTTAAAAGTCATCTTATAGGAAAGACAAACTAGGTTCATTCCCGTTTGTGACTAATCCTCTGTTACTCAAAGATTGGGCTACGCCTTCCTGTAACCTTAACTACAAACGGTTCTGTACCGCCTGTTCCAGGCATGGCAAGCATGCCTTTGCTTCAGAAAGTTGTTATAACCATCAAGCAACCCTACCTTTGTTTCAAAATGAGTACCTTGTTACGACTACCTGTAGTGATTACCTTGTTTTGACCGCCAGTTATATTCTGCTCCTGTAACCCTTTTCTATTTTTTTCCCATTTGGAAACGCCCTACCCCTGAACTATAAAAGCCCTGTCTCCTTCACTTCAGTGTTGATCTCTCAAACCCCACTTTAGGGGAAGGCAGCCTACGTACACGAATAAAAAAAAAGCTTATTTTAATTAACTGCTTGCTTTAATTAATTTGGCAATGATAATTTGGATTGGTGGGTTTTTTTTTCTCTTCCTGTCTTTGGGATTAATGATTCCCAGGCAGATCAGTATTTCATTTTATAGGTGTGTGGATAAATCTCAGTGGGCGAGTGGCTTGCCAGAGGCCAGGCAGTTGTAAATACCTATTCAAGTTGAAATCCATGCATGGGTGGTTCAGTGGTAGAATTCTCACCTGGCAAGTTGAAATCCATTCTGGCGCTAATTACCTGGAGTTAGGACAGAGCTCACAACTTCAAGGTATTGTCCCCAGGAAGTTACTCCATGTAGTGGATGTAGACGGGATGTCACACTCTGACAAGCTGACCGCAAATGGAGCGGAGCCGGTTCCCAGGATCCTCCTCGGTTTTGATAAAGTTGTCAGAATAACTCCCAGAACTCGAGGAAGTTCTGTACTTAGGATATTGTTCTAAAGGATACAAATTGGGACCAAGCAAAGGACATCATGCAGACTCTGAAAGCACCCAGTATGGTCCTTTCTCATGGTCCTCAGTCTTCTTTGCATGATTGCCTTCACCAACCAATAAACTCTACAAGCTTCCGCATCCAGGCTTTTTTACGGAGCTTTGATATGCCCACATAATTGGTAAACTCAGCCTCTGACTCCCCACCCTCTCTGGGCTCAGTCTCATGGTAGGTCTAGGTGAGAACTAGCTACTACCCAGAGCCAGCTCGTTACTATAAATTCAGATAAGGTCAGGGGCTCCTAGAACTTGGGAAATTGCAAGGGTTTTAGACGCTTTCTCCCAGAAATCTAGAACAAAGACCAGACAAATCTTTTAGCAGAGCCATGTAGCTTCTGTGTCTGCAGATTCCAGGCCAACTGCTTCCTTTATGACAAACTTCATTCTAGGGAAACCATCTCTCACCTGGATTTCCGACTAAGAATTAAAGCAGGAACTCAAGATCTATTCTGACCTCCTGGAGAGATCTAGAGAGAGGTTTCCTGTATTTCAAAACCACACCCCGCCCTTCCGTTTCTGCCCACTTGAAACCAGACACAACCCATGATCCAGTCCCAGCCTCCGTCCCCCGTCCTTCCCCTCTCCCCTCTCCCCCCGCCCCCCCACCCGCCCCCGGGGTGGAGGTAATAAAACCGCGGCGGGAAGAAAGCCGGCAGCTGAAAGTACAGACCCCTCTCTGCCCTAGCAGAGAGCAAGTCTTGAAGAAAGGGAGGCTCCGAATAGTGAGCCACGTGGGCAAGGCCAGCTGAAGATGTAGAAGTCCGCATTTATCCTTAATCTGCATCTTAAACGTCCCCTCCCCCATCCCATCGCCTCCATAGCTTTGTTCTAAGGCTTGCAAGGTGAAAAGGACGGGTGGATGTGAAGCGATTTCTAATGGATAAAATTCTCGGACCGTAGTTTGTACAGGAGCCGTGCAGACATCCATTTTAATTATTGATGCGAACCCCTGTCGCTGGTGAGAAGGAAAGGGGGTTTCTTTTATTGCACATTTTCTATGCACCGTGATCGATCAGCACTCGGATTCCACACACTATTTAACCCTCACCATCCCGTGAATTGTGTTCCGGATCCTTCCCTAACCCGGGCTCTGCAAGATTAAAGAATTAAGCCTGTATCTGGTTGCCTCCAGTTGCTGGTAATAGGCAGAAAATGTTGCCATTATGTTTGTTTGCTCTGTGCTTTATTAAATATTATTTTGTATGATTATGTAATTAAACTGTGATCCTCTGAAACCTGTCATTTCGAAAGCGGGGTCAGCTGAACAAAGCTAATCAAAGAAATGCTTCATTTACGTTAATCCTGCTGGGAGATGTTCGGGTCGTTTCTCTGAATGCCCGGGTGACCTTGCTTAGCTTAGAGTAAACATTAGGCTGCTTTCCGTTATTAAGCCTCTGCTAATTCAGGCCTCTGATGCAGAGCAAATGCGCTATTAATGATAAAAGCAGCAGTCACATAAAAGTCTCGCTATGGGATTATGAGAGCAGCCGGATCCCAGCTCCGGTTTCCAGTGTACCTGGGTATTACTGACTTAAGTTGATAAAGGAGACGGTTTTCCGGGGTGGAGGGTGTGTGTGGGGGAATGGATGTAGAGACCTGACCTCTGAATTAGCTCTGTACTAGTGCCACCTAGTGGTCATGCTGGGCCCCAGCAGGTCCTTCATATTTTTAAGGGGTTGGGCTCTGGGGCTCCGCCTTCCTCAGCTACCCAAACTGCTGTTTTGTTTGTTTGTTTGTTTGTTTGTTTGTTTGTTTTACAAAGGCTCTGGAGTTACTTGTGTGATAGAATGTGAATGAGACAGTCGTTTGTTTCAAATTGATGCAAAAATTTAAGTACCCGAGATGGTGAATTTAGAGCCTTGGGCCATTTTAGTATAGCCCATGAAGGTCGACTCTCCTGCTTTTTCCGATCCCTAGCCTCTCTGATTTCCTGAGGAACCCATCAGAGCACACAGGCCACCCTTCTTCCACATCTTCCCACGACAGTGTCCTCACTTGACACCACAGCCGAGAAGGAAAATGAGAAAGTCCAGTCGTTCCCCAGAACACTCCGTCAGTGGATTTTATTTTCTCTCTCTAGGTGTCTCTCTGCCACATGCCTGGCAGAGTCTGTGAAGAAATAGTTCCTCAGCACTGCTTCTGAATGACGGCAAGCATCTGCAGTGTGCCGTGCCAGACTAAGAGCAGGGAATATTAAGTCGGTTAGCCATACTTCCGAACTCCGAGAGAGACAAAAATGTCTGAGCGAGGAGACAGACTCCTCCTGCTACAATACACACCAAATGGGATTGCCATTAACAGAGGGACAAGGAGCCAGGTCAGGATCTGAAGTGGGGTTTGCCCTGGTTTTAATCCTTAATCTGTTACTTGTATAGTTGGAAAAAAATGATTGGTCAGTCACTGCAATCAGGAGTGAAAAAGGGAGAGATCGTCCATCCAGGCTTTCGGTGTACCTCGGTATTACTGGACTAGGTTGATAAAGGAGATTGTTTTTTTGGGAAGGAATTGGTCATGGAAACCACCAGGCCCTGCAGACTATCCTTTTTGGACGTTACTGAAAGACACGCTCAAAGTGTATCCAAACCAAAGCACCTCCCAACAGTGATGTTCTGGTTCAAGTTAGGAAACTAGAAAAATATACTAGTTTACATGTATTTGTGTATGTCTGTGGTATGTATGAATGGTATGTGCACATGGGTTTCTGGGTATGCATGCTGATGCGTGTGCATTTGGGGCCAGAGCATGACATAAGGGGCCTTCTTCTATAGTTCTGGGCCTTGTGGACTTGAGTCAGGATCTGTCTTTAAACCTTAAGCTCACTATTTTGCCTAGTCTGGCTGGCCAGCCAGCTCTTATGATCCTCCTATCTCTGCTCCCTCCCTAATGCTAAGTTTACGAGCATGTGTCGACACACCTTGTTTTCTTGTGGGTGCTGGGGATTTGAACTCAGGTCCTCATGTTCACAGAGCAAGGGCTCTTACTTACTGGGCCATCTCCCCAGTCCCATAACAGCAATATTAACAGAGATAATTTCCTAGGGGAAAATGGTGGCCAGGGTTTAGAGGCAGGGGACTGCTGAAGTCCAGAATTAGTGCTTCCCAGTGTGACGCAGCCCTCTGAGGAGGGTGGTGGTGTTGGGAAGAGACTGGTAGCTCTGGAGTTTGGAGAAATCTCTGCAAGATTGGAGCTAAAAGCTCCATATATTGGCAGGCCAGAGTAGTATGTTTGTTCCCTGTGATGATAAAATACCGACCAACAAAGCACTTTAAGGCAGGGAGGGCTCTTTGGGCTCACGGATGGAGAGTACAATCCATCATGGTGTGTGTGTGTGTGTGTGTGTGTGTGTGTGTGTGTGTGTGTGTGTGTGGGGTCAGGGCAAGAGGACCTTGAGGCATGATGCATCTGAAGGCTCACTCTTTTTTTTTTTATCTGCAGCCTGAGGCCCTGGCCTCTGGAGTGGTGCTGCTTACACTTAAGCTGGTCTGTCTGCATCAATTAACCCATCTTGACACTCCCTGATGGACACGCTCAGAGGTTCGTCTCCTAGGTGACTCTAACTAATCCCACGTGTTTTCATTTTAGTTCAGCAACTGGTGATAGAAGACTTTCTAATATGCCAGAAATATGAATAAATCTGGGTTTATATAAGCCGAGAGCAGTTACTCTTAACTATAAAACAAGAGTAATGTTGTATACACTCCCTTCCTGAGATGTAAAAAAGTCATATCAGTATCTTAAATGAATTCTTATCATCTGGGGACCGACTGAAAAGCATGTTAATCAAACTTTACCCCTAAGGCTGGATGGGGGTGTCTGGATCTCCCAATCATGGTAAGCTATTTTTAGGAGGCTCTGTGAATGAATGAAGAACACTAACAGCTGTTGTATTTATTATTTATTTATTTATTTATTTATTTATTTATTTATTATTTATTTATTTATTTGCCACACAAACCGTTTTATGCTCTGCCTTGTGATATTGAACCTGAATCTCATTTCTCCTTTGCTACAGGGATACCAGAGAAGAACTGGAAGCCAAGAGTTAAGAACTGGAAGCCAAGAGTTAAGTGTCTTCTCATTCTTGTTGCTTTCTACTTCTCTCTGTGTTGATGCAGCAGCAGTACTCTAAGCATCAGCAGCAACAGGTCATTCTGGTATCTCCCACACTCCTTGCGCCAGCCTCCGGGGGCCTCAGCTGCAAGATGCACCTGCTGTGCGTGCACACTAGGCCTCAGAAAGCTGTGGCTCTTCCCTCCACACACCCAGCCTCTTACTGCTCAGGCCCTGCTTCCCCTTTTGCTTCTGTATTTTTATGTGAACAACCAGGTAATACCACTCATTACATATTTTGGAGGGTTTCGCCCTTTGAAGGTAGGCAAGCAGTTTAAAAACCTTCAATATGTTTATTTGTGTCAACATGTACGCATGGGCTTGTGTGTATGTGCCTGTGCACGTGTCACAGGATACATGTAGAGACCAGAGGATACA